GGATACGCCACCGTGACGGTAACAAGCCAAAGAGCGCTCTGGCTTCTCAGCACAGTCTTCACGTGTGCTAACAACTGGCAGCAAGCAGCTCTGTGGCTCATGGCTGTGGGGTTCTTGTCGGGCTCTAGGTTGCCGTGCGTGTGTTCTTTCTGTTTGTGCCCTTACTTCCCAGTGGCATCAGCTGGGACATGGAGAAAAGGGAAATCCAAGTCTGTGATGCACATTTCACAAACAAGCAAAAATGAATTCTTCTCTAAAGGACTATTTTCAGAATAGTTTAGTTGAAAAGCAGAGCTAGAGCAAACAAGCAAGAGAGAGACACTTTAAACCATCTGCTAATTCGCTTCCTACGGATACTTGGAAGAGCTGGGGCTGGGGCTGGGCCTGGGCCTGGGCCTGGGCCTGGGCTAGGCCGAAGTTTAGGAGCCAGGAACTCCATCTAGGTCTTCCACGAGGGTAGCAGGGACTCAGGAACTGAGCCATCACCAGCTACCTCCAGCAGAAAGCTGGATCAAAAGCAGAAGTGGGGGTGCCAGAGTAGCGGGTAAAGCCACTCCAGCAGTGCCACCATCCCATATGGGTGCTGGTGCAAGTCCCAACTGCTACACTTCTGATCCAGCTTTCTGGTATGGCCTGGGAAAGCAGTAGAAGATGGCCCAAGTCCCTGGGCCCCAGCACCCACATGGGAGACCTAGAAGAAGCTCCTGGCTCCTCGCTTCAGATTGGCACAACTCCGGCCGTGTGGCCATTTAAGGAGTGAAGCAGCGGATGGAAGACCTCTCTATGCCTCTGCCTCTCTGTAACACTACCTTTCAAATTAATAAATCTTAAAAAAGCAGAAGTGGGACTAGATCCCAGGTACTCTGCAGTGGGATGTAAGTGTCCCAAACAATGGCTTAACCTGCTGTGCCACAATGCCCACCCCTGGATCTGACTACTTCAGGACAAACATGGCCAGCTGGATGCTGTGACAAACTGGATTTCTGCAACCTCTTGGCTTTAGTGTGGGATTTAGAAAAAAAGGCATACAGTTCTTCAATATATATGTGTGCATTAAAACTTCATAGAGATGTTTTTAAAGAATGATTTTATTTATTTGAAAGAGTTACAGGGAGAAGTAGAGCCAGAAAAGAGATCTTCCATCCACTAGTTCACTCCCCAGATGACTGCAACGGCCAGAGCTGGGCCGATACAAAGCCAGGAGCCAGGAGCTTCTTCCAGGTCTCCCACACGGGTGCAGGGGTCCAAGGACTTGGGCCATAGCAGAGAGCTGGACCAGAAGAGGAGCAGCTAGGACTCGAATCAGTGCCCATATGGGATGCCAGTGCTGCAGGCTGGGGCTTTAATCCACTGTGCCACAGCGCCAGCCCCAACTTCATAGAGATTTGACCCTGTATTTATTTCATGGAGTGCTTGAGTATGTTAAGGCAGGAGATGACAGTTTTTCTCACAAAGAATTATTGGTCTTAAAATGCAAATATTTCTTTTTTGCTTTTGTAATTGTAATTGAAGCATTTTTCATTTTTTAAGCACTGTCAGAATTTTAACATCTAAGTCAATTTTAGGGGGAAGAAACACTGTCAAGAAATTCCTCCAGAACAAAACTATTGTTCATTTTCCAAATACTCAATTGAAGTCTAACAAAACAAAATACAAAAATACAAAGTAATGAAAATCGTATAAGGAGTCATTCCATTTATCAGTCTTCACTCTGCTAACATTCTTATTCATCAAGATAGACATTTTTTCCATTTGCTTTTTAAAGAATGATTTATTTATTTATTTATTTGAAACGCAGAGTTACAGAAAGAGGAAGAGAGACAGAAAGATCTTCCATCCAATGGTTTATTCCTCTAATGGCTGCAACTGCCAAGGCTGGAGCAGACTGAAACCTGGAGCCAGAAACTTCATCTGGGTCTTTTCCATGGGTGGTAGAGACCCAAGCGCTTGGGCCATCTTATGTTGCTTACCCAGGGGCATTAGCAGGAAGCTGGATGGGAAGTGGAACAGCTGGGACTCGAACCAGTGCTTGTATAGGATGCTGGCATTGCAGGCGGTGGCTTAACCTGCTGCACGACAATGCCTTGCCCTTCCATTTGCTTTTTTAATTTATAATTTAATTTATAATTTATAAGTAGTACTGAAAAAAAGAAAACTAAGGAGCTCACGGGCAGTTGCCTGACTCGTTTCCCTGTCATAACAGCATGTGGAGGTCAGGAAAGCTATTGGCAGTACACACAATTAGAGGATATTCACCTCTAAGGTTTAGTTTCTTCCCAACAATGTAAAATACCCACAGTTCCATCTCATTCAGGAATTCCACAGGAGACCAGCACTGTGGCGTAGTGGATAAAGCCACCACTTGCAGTGCCAGCATCTCATATGCACACCAGTTTGAGGCCCAGCTGCTCCACTTCCAATCCAGCTCCCTACTGTGGCCTAGGAAAGCAGTGGAAAATGGTTCATGTGCTTGGGCCCCTGCACCTGCGTGGAAGACCCGGAAGAAGTTCCTGGCTCCCAGCTTCATATCAGCTCAGCTCCACCATTGGGCCTTTTGGGGAGTGAACCAGTGGATGGAAGACCAACCTCTCTGCCTCTGCCTCTCTAACTCTGCCTTTCAAATAAATAAATAAATCTTTTTTTAAAAAATTCCACAGGGCAGTGCAAGTCCCACAGCTGATCTTCATAGAGTAACAGAGCTTCTGTCAAATTCATAACAGTTCCCCTATGTAAAATATTTCCCATCTTGCTTCATGTTACTTTTTTTATATATAAGGAATGCGGATTTTTTAAGATTTATTTATTCACTTGAAAGCCAGAGTTACAGAGAGAAAGACACACACACACACACACACACACACACACGGCATCTATCCACTGGTTTACTCCCAAGATGGCTGCAACAGCTGTGGCTGGGCTAAGCCAAAGTTAGTAGCTCCATCTGGGTCTCCCACGTGGGTGGCAGGAGTCCAAGTACTTGGACCATCTCTTGCTGCTTTTCCCAGGCCATTAGCAGGGAGCTGGGTCGGAAGTGGAGTGGCCACGACACTAACCAGTGCCCATATGGGATGCTGGTATTGCAGGCAGCGACTTTACCTGCGCCTATACCACAATGCCAGTCCCCTGCTTCAATACTTTCACTGAGATCAAGATCAGTTTAAGGGTGGTTTTTTGGCCTAGTACTTAATTTTTTTATTTTTTATTTATTTTTTTGACAGGCAGAGTGGACAGTGAGAGAGAGAAAGGTCATCCTTCTGTTGGTTCATCCCGCAATGGTCGCCTGGGCTGGCGCACTGAGCTGATCCAGAGCCAGGAGCCAGGGGCTTCTCCTGGTCTCCCATGTGGGTGCAGGGCCCAAGGACTTGGGCCATCCTCCACTGCACTCCCTGGCCACAGCAGAGAGCTGGCCTGGAAGAGGGGCAACCGGGACAGAATCCGGTGCCCCGACTGGGACTAGAACCCGGTGTGCCGGCGCCATAGGCGGAGGATTAGCCTAGTGAGCCGCGGCGCCGGCCGGCCTAGTACTTAAGATACCAGTTAGGATGTCTGCATCCTACTTAGGAGCACTTAGGTTCAGGCTCCAGCCCTGGCTCCTGATTCCAGCTTCCTGTTGATGCGGAACCCCAGAACATTGCAGTGATGACTCAGTAATGGCATTCCTGCCTTCCATGTGGGAGACCTGAACTAAGTTCCTGGCTCCTAGATTCAGCCAAGCCTAGTCTTGACTGCTGTGGGCATTTGGGGAATAAACCAGTAGATGGGAGCTCTGTCTCTCTGTGTCTTTTCTGCATTTGAAATAAATTTTAAAAATAATCAGTCTGAAAAACTCCCATGTAGAATGTTCCTCTGGAGGTTTGGAGATTGGAACCATAGTCACATTGTTAATCATGTCATCAAACACTGTCTCTGCTTTGGTTCTGGAATACAGTCTTCTGTTGGAACCCGATAGGTCTCTCTTAAGACTAAGTTGGGACAACAGGTTTTTCTCATGTGTCTCTTACTGTCCATCCATCACCAGCCTCCCTGCCATAGTGACATATTCAGTTTTGGTTTGTCTGTTTCACAAATTGTCGTCATCCCTCTCTCTTAAAATCAGCAGTGTATCTTTGCCGGTATAATCTTTGCCTCTGTCCATGATGGTCAGGGTATATGCCACATCTGCCAAATTAACATTCCTACTAAGAATGAGAATATTTTCTGCAAATTGTTTCAAGTATAGGATTTCATGTTCTGAGAAGATGAATCTTTGTCACATACCTCTGTGTGTTGCACCCAACCAGGCACCCCATCTATGATGCGCAAGTATTTACCAGTGGCCCCTCCTGGAAATATGGTAGTAATCTCTTCACTTCCCAGTAGTATCCTGATTTCCTTTTGTTTTCTGTTGTACAGGATTCAAAAGGTTGTCAGTTTCTTTGTCCTGTGCATTGCTACTGTAACACTCATCTGTGTGGGTAGTTCAAAAATTAGCAAAACTGCTATTTTTGTTTGTGTAGACTGTGAGATAACCATGGTACTGCCAAGTATGCACTAACTTCACCATTCCCTGTCCTTAGAACGTGGACTGGAGGCCTTTTAGAACAGTCTTACTGTCAACTTGGGTGCTGAGCATGAAGTTGGGTGTGCTGTGCCACACCACTGCCACAGTGAGATGGGGCCCTGTGTGGTGCCTGTGGCAGGTGCCTGCAGGAGACCAGGGGGCCATACAGTATGTCAGGCTGTAGCAAACAGGATTATTTGTGTTTAATATGCATGGAAGTTCTGCAAGGTGCTGTGTTTCCTGTCATGGAGAACAATAAGACTTGAGTGAACATGGTAAGAATATGGAAATAATTTCCATGTGTTCTTGGTGGCTTTAAATGAGGAAGTACGTGTGACCCAAATTGTAAGTGTTTGGAGAACCCAGAACTGCAGGCAAATTGTTTTTTAATGAAGTGAGTGTGCTTCCCAGTGCTGTCAGTCTCATGTATCCTCCTTTACACATCTGTGGGATGTTTTAGGACTCGGTGGCCTTTGAGGATGTGGCTGTGAACTTCACTCAGGAGGAGTGGGCTTTGCTGGATCCTCTGCAGAAGAAACTCTACAGAGATGTGATGCAGGAAACCTTCAGGAACCTGGCCTCTATAGGTAAGAATGAGGCTAGTGCCTCACTTAGTCAGTGAGAGAACAAGTGTTTCTTGTTCATCAGTGAGGTTCCAAGATTTGAAATGTGGAAAAGAAATAGTTTGATAAATAAACTAGGCCTAGTGGCAGCTCATCATGGGCCTAAATTAAAAAAAAAAAAAACTAATAATTTTTCTATAGTTTCTGATCATTTATAAACACTTCTCTGGGTCTGCATTTTAGGGAAAAAATGGGAAGATTCAAACACAGAAGATCAGTACAAAAGCCAGGGGAGAAATCTAAGGTGAGTTGTCCCCATAAAGGAAGGTAGTGTCTCATGAGAGGAACTTTGTATTTCGTGAAACTTGTCAAACAAGTAAAACAAATGAACTCAGTGTCACATATATTTATTTTTAGAAAATTTTTGCCAAGAATATTTTTAAATGAAATAGATATTTAATATACAAAAAAACTTTGTTACTCAACTAGAAATAGTGAGATACCCCATATTATTCATATCACTGTTTTGATAGTAGCTATTGTCAAATACTCTTCCAAAGCATTCATTACGTATGCTCTCCCTGAAAATTGCACAAATATATTTCCAGTGTTAGTGACTGTGAAAATGTGAATGACTGGCCGGCGCCACAGCACACTAGGCTAATCCTCCGCCTGCAGTGCCTGCAATCCAGGTTCTAGTCCCGGTTGGGGCACTGGTTCTGTCCTGGTTGCTCCTGTTCCAGTCCAGCTCCCTGCTGTGGCCCGGGAGTGCAGTGGAGGATGGCCCAAGTGCTTGGGCCCTGCACCCGCATGGGAGACCAGGAGAAGCCCCTGACTCCTGGCTTCGGATCGGCACAGTGCACCGGCCATAGCAGCCATTTTGGTGGTGAACCAACGGAAGGAAGACCTTTCTGTCTCACAGTCTAACTCTGCCTATCAAAAAAAAAAAAAAAGTGAATGACCATTAGTAATTATACAATTATTACTTAAAAGCCATTAATAATGTGCCTCTTACTTGTTACAGAAGTCACATTATAGAGAGACTCTGTGAAAAGAAAGAAAGTAGTCCATCTGGAGAACCCTATAGTCGGACTCCAAATCGGAAATTGAACAAGAAGACTCTCACGGGAGTAAAACCATATGAATGCACCATGTGTGGGAAAGTCTATATGTGTCATTCATCTCTTAACAGACACATGAAATCCCATACTGAACACAAACCATATGGGTATAACAAATACGGAGAGAAGTCCTACGAATGCAAGGAGTGTGGGAAAACATTCAGCTTTCGAAGTTCATTTCGAATCCACGAAAGGACTCACACGGGAGAGAAACCCTATCAGTGTAAACAGTGCGGGAAAGCCTTCAGTTGGCCCAGTTCCTTTCAGATACACGAAAGAACTCACACCGGAGAGAAACCCTACGAGTGCAAGGAGTGTGGGAAAGCCTTCATTTACCACACTACCTTCCGAGGACACATGAGAATGCACACGGGGGAGAAACCGTATAAGTGTAAAGAATGCGGGAAAACTTTCAGTCACCCCAGTTCATTTCGAAACCACGAAAGGACACACAGTGGAGAGAAGCCCTACGAGTGTAAAGAATGCGGAAAAGCTTTTCGCTATTACCAGACTTTTCAAATCCACGAAAGGACTCACACCGGAGAGAAGCCCTATCAGTGCAAACAGTGTGGGAAAGCTCTCAGCTGCCCCACGTCCTTTCGAAGTCATGAAAGGATTCACACTGGAGAAAAACCCTATAAGTGTAGGAAGTGCGGGAAAGCCTTCAGTTTCCCCAGTTCATTTCGGAAACATGAAAGAATTCACACCGGAGAGAAACCCTATGACTGTAAGGAGTGTGGGAAGGCATTCATTTCGCTGCCGAGCTTTCGGAGACACATGATCATGCACACTGGAAATGGACCCTACAAATGCAAGGAATGTGGGAAAGCCTTCGACTGTCCCAGTTCATTTCAGATCCATGAAAGGACTCACACGGGGGAGAAGCCCTACGAGTGCAAGCAGTGCGGGAAAGCCTTCAGCTGCTCCAGTTCCTTTCGAATGCATGAAAGGACTCACACGGGGGAGAAGCCTCACGAGTGCAAACAGTGCGGCAAGGCCTTCAGCTGTTCCAGTTCCGTGCGAATCCACGAAAGGACCCACACCGGGGAGAAGCCCTATCAGTGTAAACAGTGCGGCAAGGCCTTCAGTTGTTCCAGTTCCTTTCGAATGCACGAGAGAATTCACACTGGAGAAAAGCCATATGAATGCAAGCAGTGTGGTAAATCCTTCAGTTTTTCCAGTTCATTCCGTATGCATGAAAGGACTCATACGGGAGAGAAGCCCTACGAGTGTAAGCAGTGCGGGAAGGCCTTCAGCTGCTCCAGTTCCTTTCGAATGCACGAAAGGACTCACACGGGAGAGAAGCCATATGAGTGCAAACAGTGCGGCAAGGCCTTCAGCTGCTCCAGTTCCATCCGCATCCACGAAAGGACCCACACAGGGGAGAAGCCCTACGAGTGCAAGCAGTGCGGGAAAGCGTTCAGCTGCTCCAGTTCTGTTCGAATGCACGAAAGGACTCACTTGGGGCAGAAGCCCTACGAGTGCAAACAGTGCCACAAAGCCTTCAGCTGCTCCCGCTCCTTCCGCATCCACGAAAGAACTCACACCGGAGAAAAACCCTATGAGTGTCAGCTGTGTGGAAAGGCCTTCAAGTGTTCCCGATCCTTTAGAGTCCATGAAAGAACTCACACTGCAGAGTAACTCTCCCAGCGTCAGCAGTGTGCTCCTGCCTTCTGTTGCCCCAGCCTACTGGGAAGCCATAAACTCACACCGGAGTGCAACTTTTTGAATGTCAGCAATGTGTTGGAGTCTCCCGTTAGCCCAAATTTGTTTCACCAGATAGGAACAAAAGGAAAAATCACAACGTTTTCAATCTTAACAAATACTCTTGTGCTACTTCCTCTCAGGTGAAACTTCAAACTCATGTGGAAACTCCCACTAGAGAGAGATCCTGTAAATGTAGATTATGTGGGAAAGCCTGGTGGAAGGTAATCCATGCATATTCCATAAAATGCACATTATGACAAAAGGCATAAGTGGATTGTTCTTATGAGTTCATCCTTTTTAAAGTGTAACTATATGGATTTCTGTTTACTACATTTGCAGATGAGCAATGAGGTGAGAAGTTCTGCAGCCCTCATTAAGCAGTGGTACACAGTTTTAATAGGTAGTTTGAGTTTCTGTTGCATCAGTTTACTAGTGTTTTCTCTTTCCATTCTAAAGTATATTGGATTTATGGGTGAATGGAAGTGTATTTCCAATATGCAAGTAGGTTTAATTTTTATGGAGTTTTTAAATTGCTCTGGAGGGACCACTGAAAGATATAACACCCGTAATTCTTGGGATTTCCCTAATGGCTTATGTGATAGGTGCTCCATGTCCTTTGCCCATTATGTATATTCCAGTTTTCTTTGTGACTTAAAGTATCTGATTTTGGGGAGGGCAGAGTTGTATTCTGTTTTCTGTGCTAATAAATAGTTGTCATAAATTTGTGATTATGCAAAATTTATCATATGATATACTCCAATTTGACTTGTTTTGATCTTTTGCTCTTTGCTGTTTGTCATTCGTTCCAGCTGGGATTTGGATAATAGAGTCTGCATTCAGAAGAGATACCTGTAACAGAACAATATAAACTATAATGGGAAACCACATTCCTGTATGTGTTCACATGGATGAATGTTGTGATCTGTGTTTTCTGCAGTCTCTCTTTGTGGTTACATGTTAGAATTCACCAATAGCCTACTTGCATGAGAGGAATATGGAAGGTAGTAGTTAAGAAGGTGTTAGCCAAGTTTTGTAGCTGCCATATATAATGTGGCTGAGTACACAAGGGCTTCAGAGATGGGTGTTTCTACTTCATTTTCCCAATACTGCCTGACCAGTGAAGAGTACAGGCATGTACCATGTAACAGTTCCATCAACAACTGATTACATTTATTTACAGTGGTGGTCCTGTGAAATTTTAATGGAGCTGAAAATTTACCATTGCCTAGTGATGTCATCGCAAAGTATATTCCTCAAGTGTTTGTACTGATGCTGGTGTAAAGAAACCTGTGCTGGCAGCCCCTTAAAAATATATACAATTGTGTACAGTATAGAATACTTGGCAATAATAAACATGTATGTCATTTGTTTTTGTATTATTATTTTAGAGTGCATTCCTGTTTATAAAAATGTTAACTATAAAACAGCTTCGAGCAGATCTTGCAGCATAGGAGATAATAGCTCTTTGCCTGTCATTTCCCCTAAAGGCTTTCCAGTGGGACAAGATGTGGAGGTGGAAGACGTTGATATGGGTGATCTTGACCCTGCGTAGTCCTTTCTTAGTTTTTAGCAAAAAAGTTTATAAAGTTAAAAAAAAAAACTCAAAATAGATGACAGCTTATAAAATAAAGATATAGAGAAAAATATTTTTGTGCAACTGTATAGATAGTGTATTTATGTTTCAAGTGTTTTTATAAAAGCTAAAAGTAAAAGTTACAGTAAGCTTTTTATAAAAAAACTTTCATAGATTTAGTGCAGCCTAAGTATTCAGTTTTATGAAGTACGCAGTAGTAGACGGCAATGTCCTATGCCTTCCCATCCACTAACCACTCACTGATATTCCTTTCCTGGTAAGTGCCCTATACAGCTGTACCCCCTTTTTAAATCTTTTATACTGTATTTTAATGTTCTTTTTCTATGTTTAGAAACACAGATACCATTGTGGTACCAGTTGCCTATGGTATGCAGTAGAGTGACGTGTTGTAGACCAGCAGTAGTAAGCTATACCACATAGCCCAAGTGTATAGTATACCATACTATTTAAGTCTTTGAAGTACATGGATGATCTCATAAGGACACATTGCCTCATGACGTATTCTCTGTCATTAAATGGTGCACAGCTTTGTTCTCAAAGCCACCACTCGCTTCTACGTCTTCAGAGACCCAGTTTTCCACAGGTGCTCATGTCTTCACAAGTTCCAGGGAAAAAATACCCATCACGATTTGATTTTCCTGCAGACTATCATGTGTCCACCAGATGCCTAATTTGGACTCAGGGGTCCCCTGATGCACTGACTCAGCTCATCTGTAGATTGAATTTATCCAGAGTCTGAATTCATGTAGTACACACCTTTTTACCACCACCACTGACTGTTTCTGATTCCAGCATGACGGCTACAGTGGGGCAGTGAGCATGAACTGCACGGAAATTTCTTTCCTCGCTGCACTGTGCAGTGAACTCACTGACAGTTCTCAGTACAAGAATGAGCACCTTCCTCCTGTCAAGTAGATCATCAGTGCTTCCTGTTGCAGTTGAATGTATTCTCGCAGTGTGTTTTCTATTGTTTCCTAGTATGTGACAAAAAACAGTGTGCATGTTTTTTTCAAACAAGAGCGTCTAGAAATGGATGTTACTTGGAAATAATAACTTTTCAGATAATGTGTATATTATCAGTTATTGTATTTTCCATTTCCTGTAAGGATCTGTAAAAATATTCCATTGCAATTGTGGACTCTCAGATTAAGTTTGTAATTTTTTCATGTTAAGATATTTTGAGTAATATTACCAGGTTTACACAAGATCATCTATTTTTCCCCCCCAGGGAAAATTTTTTTCTTAATCTCATTCTTTTGTGTGTGAACCCAGCTTCTCATTCTTTCATTCATAATACCAAAAATTTAAAACATGATTTTTCTCAGTGCTTTTTAGCCAGAGACCACCAGGAAAATACCTGAAGTCAAAGAGCAGGGTGTTAGGAATTGTCACAATAAGAATGACCAGAAGCCACGAGTCACTCCAGGGAGCATCGGAAAAGTACTCAACAGGACTTCTTGTTGGATGTGGGCTTTTTGTTAGGAGACTTCATAGCCCTTCAGTGAAGTGAGACATTTCTCTGATTCTTACTCTTTTTTGAAGATTTATTTATTTGAAAGAATTACAGAGAGAGAAAGTCTTGCATCTGCTGGTTCACTCCCAAATGGCCACAATAGCTGGGGCCAGGCCAGGCCGAAGCCAGGAGCTTGGTGCTCCATCCAGGTCTCCCATGTGGGTGGCAGGCCCCCAAGTACTTGGAGCCATCTCCCGCTATCTTCCCAGGTAGCAGGGAACTGGGTCAGAGGTGGAGTGGCTGGGGCTCTGGCTGGGGCTCAAACCAATGCATCTGGGATGCCAGTGTTACAGGTGGCAGCCTAACCCACTGCATCATGACACTGGCCCCAAAACAATTTTTAAGAAGCTCCATTTTGGGGGCCAGCATTATGGTGTAGTGGGTAAAGCTGCCGCCTGCAGTGCCAGCATCCCATATGGACGCTGGTTCGAGTCCCAGCTGTTCCACTTCCAATCTGGCTCTCTGCTATGGCCTGAGAAAGCAGCGGATGATGGCCTAAGTCCTTGGTCCCCTGTACCCACGTGGGAGACCCGGAGGAAGCTCCTGGCTCTGGTTTCGAATTGGTCCGGCTCTGGCCGTTATGGCCATTTGAGGAGTGAACCAGTGGATGGAAGACTCTCACTCTCTCTCTCTCTCTCTCTCTCTCTCTCTGCCTATCTGTAACTCTGCCTTTCAAATAAATGAATCAATCTTAAAAAAAAAAAAAAAAAAGCTCCACTTGGTCATATTAGTGAGCCCAAGGCATCTTTGGTCATTTATGTGGCTGGACTGTGTTCTCTTACCATTCCTAGAGACATAACATGCCCTTGTCTTGATTCATTGGGGTTGCTGAGTAGATTTGTATGGTGACAGAAGTGTGTGGCATTTTTCTCTTCAACAGGTTGGTACTTAGTCTTGCATGAGTGCGAGGTTATCTCAGTTGTATGTAATTGTTTTTACCTTTCTTAGTGGTTAAATACAGAAATATTTCCTATGGTGTATTAGTTTGTTTCATAAAACACATCAGTTAAAATATCTAAGTTGACTTACTTTGAAAAATCATTTACTTTTATTTTCTTTATGTATTAACTGAGACTTAAAAGCTTATGTAAGGTTTTATTTTTTTAATTTAAAGATTTATTTATTTGAAAGAGTTACACAGAGAGAGGAGAGTCAGAGAAAGGTCTTCCATCAGCTGGTTCAGTCCCTAATTGGCTGCAGCGGCCAGAGCTGAGCTGTTCCAAAGTGAGGAGCCAGGAGCTTCCTCCAGGTCTCCCATGTGGGTGCAGGGGCCCAAGGACTTGGGCCATGTTCTACTGCTTTCCCAGTCCACAGCAGAGAGCTGGATTGGTAGTGGGGCAGGCAGGACTTGAACCGGCACCTATATGGGGTGCCGGCACTGCAGGCAGCGGCTTTACCCGCTGTGCCACAGCGCTGGCCCCAGTTTATGTAAGTTTTAAGGGAACACAGTCTAGGAAGATGCAAAGACAGGATCACCACTCAGGCCTTTCTTGCTCAGGGACCATGGTCTTGACGTTAATTTTCAGGGGTTTTGTTATTGTTAAGATTTATTTATTTGCAAGACAGAGTGACAGAGAAGAGAAAGAGATCTTCGACTCAGTGTTTGTTCCCCAAATGGCCTCAACTGCCCTGCACTTCATCCAGGTGTCCCATGTGTGTAGCAGGGATCCAAATACTTGGGGCGTTTTCTTGCTTTCCCAGGCACATCAGCAGGGAGCTGGATCTGAAAGTGGATCAGCCGGCATGCCAGCTGGTGCTCCAATGGGATGCTGGCATCGCAGACAACAGCTTAGCTCGCTGTGCCACAATGCAGGCCTCTGTGTGAATTTTCTAGCATCTCCTATTTGTAGACTGAAAAGATACACAATTAAACACAAATAATTGGGTACCATAGGTTGTGGATGTAGAGACATGAAACAAGTTCCTGAAGTCCTAGTGTTTGTATTTTTGTGGAAAGAGAGATGATGGACAAAGAGGGTTTTGATTCATAAAAGGGAATTAGGAGCTTTGAAATAAATGAAATTGGGAGTGAACTGTTAAGTAACTTGTAGGGACTTTAGAAAGTTCTTGGGGCTGGCACTGTGGCATAGTGGATGGGGCCGCCGCCTGCAGTGCCGGCATGTCATATGGACACTGCTCCACTTCTGATCCGGCTCTCTGCTGTGGCTTGGGAAAGCAGTAGAAGATGGCCCAAGTGCTTGGGCCCCTGCACCCACGTGGGAGGCCTGGAAGCAGCTCCTGGCTCCTGGCTTCAGATTGGCATAGATCCAGCCATTGTGGCAATCTGGGGAGTGAACCGCGGATGAAAGACCTCTCTCTCTGTCTCTCTCTAACTCTGCCTTCCAAATGGATAAGTAAATCCTTAAAGAAAAAAAAAAGTTTTTGGGGAGGGGACAGGCATTTGGTGTCATGGTTAGGATGCCTGCATCAGTGCCTTAGTTCAAAACTTACTTTTAGGGGCCAGCATTGTGTAGAGGGTTAAGCTACTGCCTGCAGGGCCAGCATCCTATATGGGTGCTAGTTAGAGTCTTGGCTGCTCTGCTTCCAATCCAGCTCCCTGCTAGTGTGTCTGGGAAAGCAGTAGAGGATGGCCCAAGTATTTGGGCCCCTGCACCCATGTGGGAGACCCAGAAGCTGCTCCTGGCTCTTGGCTTCGTCTGCCCCAGACTCAGCCATTGTGGCCATTTGGAGAGTGAACCAGCAGATGGAAGATATCTCTGTCTCCCCCTCTCTGTAAACTGTGCCTTTCAAAAAAAATAAATAGGGGCTGGCACTGTGGTGTAGCGGACTAAACCACCACCTGCAGTGCCAGCATCGCATAGGGGCGCCAGTTCGAGTCCTGGCTGCTCCACTTCCGGTCCAGCTCTCTGCTGTGGCTTGGGAAAGCAGTAGAAGATGGCCCAAGTGCTTGAGCCCCCGCACCCGTGTGGGAGACCCAGAAGAAGCTCCCTGGCTCCTGGCTTCGATCAGCATAGCTCTGGCCATTGCGGCCAATTGGGGAATGAACCAATGAACCAGAAGATGGAAGTCTCCCTCCCTCTCTCCTCCCTCCCTCTCTCTCTCTCTCTCTGCCTCTCCTTCTCTCTGTAACTCTGACTTTCAAATATTTTTGTTTTAGAAAGTTGTTTGGAATGGAGCCACGCATTGCTGATGCTCTTGCAGTTCCGTCTGAGCAATTTGCCATCCTAAGGAGAATTTTTTAAAATTTATTTTAATTTTCTTTAAAAGAGAAATGTCTCCCACCCACTGATTCACTCCCCAAATGCCTGCAACAG